GTGTGTGTGATGTGTTTGTAATCCTCATGTCGGGGTCTAGAGGTTACTCTCTTGCAGCGTGGTAGATGCCTGACAATCATAGGTTTTGGAGTTTTTACTGAACACCTTCTGCATGCCACAAAGGATTCTTTTTTTCCTTTGTGAATGTTTTATTGGCTTCTGTGTGGTGTCTTTTCTTTTCTGCCTTCCCTAGGAGTGGTAGACATTGGTCACAAATATGGTGGAGGGGGGAAGTCTGATTGGAGTATACTAGAGGTTCCCAGCTACAGTATATTGCTTTTTCTGCTGCTGGTCATACTGATAACTAAATCTGGGGTCAGGAATGAATTTTTCTCTGAGGTCAGATGGGTAAGGACAGTGGAGGGAAGTTTGCCTTGTTCTGTAGTGTAGTCCATGGGCTTCTTCCTAGAATCCTCTGAGTATTTATTAACCAATTACTGGTACTTCTTTGTCATTATACTGGCAGTGCCCTTGGCTTCCCTGCTTTTTCATATGGCATGCTCTTGGGTGTTCTTGGTGTTTTGTGCGTTGTTGTGTATGTGTTTGATGTGGTGAACGAGGATCCTGGGGTAAATAATGGTTGCCTGCAAATGCAGGGAACTGGACTCAATGGCCCAGAAGGCCTCTTTCAATCTGACAGTCCTTATAAACAATTCTGGTGCAACCAGACATCAGTGAGTGCAGTGCTTTTCTCCTGGGTGTTTCTTCAGGCTTGTCTTTATATTCAGCCAAGGTGAAATTACTGAAGGGATGCAGTGGCAGATAGACAAAGGGATCTCACTATGGCTCTGGAAGTGTGAGTGCAAGCCCTGATCTCAACTCATGTCAGATGCTGCCCGAGCTGATTCAGCCGTAGGGATACTGGGTTATTCAGGCTAGGGAATCGAAGGCAGATGGATGCTGGCCACATCAGTCCCTTGTGTACTGCTGGCTAATAAACTGTTGTGTGCTGACCACAGTAGTTTGATAGGCCACCAGGCTCAGATGGATATTCCTGTCCTAAAACTGTTGAGCATTGAGCTAATGTCAAAACCTGGCTCTGAGATGAAATTTTGTGGTACAAAAAGTTATGTTGGCTGCCACCCAGCATATGATGGGAAGGGACTTCCTGGGTCACTGACTCCAGTTCCCATGACATGGAGGTAGGAGCCTTTTCCATCCCCTCTGAGAGTCAGCGTGTGATTCTACGGCTTTGGTACTGGGTTCCCCCTACCTACCTGGGAGTGGTTTCTGTTCAGTGATGAGGAGGAGGAAGAGGCAGAGGATGAGAAGATTATTTATTTTCATAGACTTTTATAAAAAATAATTATCAAATACAAAAAAATAAAAATAGCAGCAGCCTCAGTTGTGAATAAAACCCTAAGGGGACAAAACGCTCAGTGTCGCTATAAAAGAACGATATTCTTGGTACAGAAAAGCTATCGAGTCACGAGAAGCAAAATCTCTGCTGGAATTCCCATCAGATCTGTCTGCTCTTGTGCTAACCCTGCCCCACCACCTGGCTTACAAGGCTGTGCCCCTAAGAGACATGCTTTGCACAGCAGTCTCACCTCACGCCATGCCTCTCTGCCAGAGGGCACTTGCCTGTACAAGCTGAGTGATGCTTTTTCATCTGATCCATAAGAAACAATCTTATCAGTGACAGGGCCCTTGGACTAGTCAGAAAGGCTTAGCTAGTGCCCATCTTTTTGAGGTGAATACAGCCACTATTAAATCAGGCTGGAAAGGGCAAATGCAATAGAAGGCAGCTATTTGAATTTCTCCTGTCTCTCCACTGAGTGTCACCCTCACGCCACAAATCCTTAGTCACAGCAGTGTTTCCACAATCCCCAGCTTGCACACAGGACCCTTCTTGCTGCCTTTAGAGCCTTATCAAGCTACTTGCTGTGCTACAAGATGCATCTCTTCCTGGTGGACCCTAGCTTAGCAGCTTCAAACTCAGCGGATGCTGCTGACTTCTCCAGCATTAAAGTCTGATGAAACAAGGTTTCTTTGTCCTTGACTCGCACAGGAATTTTTCTGCACAACAATGCAAAAACAATAAGTCCTGATGAGCCTCATTTCACGCAAGCCACTTGGATTCAGTGGTCACCGAAATTTCAAAATACAGAAGATGGTGTCAAATTCTGTTCCTGGTTAGACCGGGGCAAGCCCCAGCAGAACTATGCCATGATAACTGGGTCAGTGAATTGTGATGGCAATGATCTCTCTCTGCTGGCATCTTCAGCACCCCTGTGCTGGATTCTGACCTTAGTTTCTGATCTCGCTGCAGTGCTTTCTGCCATGATCAGAGATGTCCACATTCACTCTGCAGTCAGTCACACCAGATAAACCCAGGAGATGTGAAGTGTCATCATTAGGAGAACTGCAAGCTGCCTGATCCCAGGCCCTGACATCACACCAAGACTGCTGGCATCAGTCTTGAGGAGCTGGGATTCTCATTCTTGAGAACAAGTTTCAGCCTTGTTGATCTAAGTGCAGGATACTCCATTCACAACAGTGGAGCTGTGCTTGCTCATGCTAGGGATGGGTCTTTCCCTGCTCTCCCATTATTGTTTGTTTTGAAAAAAGGAGATGGATACTGTGCAGTTACCAAAAAAAAAGATGTGACCTAGGAGAATGCAGAGAATCTCCCCTGTAACACTATAAAGGCAGTGGGTTGATGGGCCCATCAACTCTACACTTTCTAGGGCTGTTAAGCAAAGCTAATTGGAAATTCCCTTCCTCTCCCTCCTTCCCTCCATACCTGCCTTCAAAACAAAAAGGGCAAAAGCCAAAAATTCAGATTTGGAAATGCTGCTAGGGTGCTTCACAAGAGTTGCATTTTGGATGCCTCATAACCTAACTCTCCTGGTACCTGGCCAGGCTATCTCCTGTGATGTACTATTAACAGTATATTATAGGAGTCCTAGTCACAGTGAATCACTGGAAGATGTAGTTTGGCCAATCAGCCAGAGCAGAGAGGAGGATAGAGGCACTTGAATTAAGTCCCCCAGGAAGCACTGCAATGGCATTTCTAAATATTTTTTTTTTCTGGGAGGGGAAAGGAAGGACTTTTAGCAGAAAACTGTTTTGTTTTGGTTTTCAGTCAAAAGTCCCTGAAGAAAGCAGACCCCCTTTGCAAACCAAGCCCATTCAATCTTAAACCCAATTTTCCATCAAACAATAATTTGGACAGAAAATTTTCAACCAGCCCTGCTGTTACACGAAGTAACAGGCTCACTTGCCTTCCCTTGGGCCCCTGAGCCTGAGTACATGCCCTGACCCTCCCAAGTGAAGAACAGGGGAGAGTGAGAAGAAAACCAAGAACTATAATTGTCCCCATAAAATAAAAAAGCCAAGAGAGGGATTTACCTTGTAAGAAGTTCTCTTGAGATGCCTGACAAAAAGAAGCCAAAAAAATAGGAACAGGCTATCAGCATCTGAAATACCCGAATCTTCCCACAGAGTGTCACTCTCACTCCATGTGCTCCTCAGCTGAATAAGCTCCTCAACAAACAAATGGGCCTGGCTTCAATTGTGTCTTATTCCTTCAATACTGACAGATTATCCAAATGGGGCAAGCTGGGATGTCCAGATGATTCTTCAGCCCTGACCCAACAGTAGGGAGTCTCTGAGATAGGCATAATCTCTCTCTCTACTCTCCTTTTTTTCTGTCCCTTATCATTTTGTCCCCTTTCTTTGCTGTCTCCTTTCCAGCTCCTACTAGTGTCTGCAAAGTGGCTCCCAGTTGCTTTCCTGTTATACATAAAAGTAGGGCCCATCAAAATACTAGATCTGAAGAAAAATCCTAAATGTGGGGGACAATTCAGATGGGCCCTCAGAGTCCATGTTTGGCAGCTGTTTCTAGTGAGCTGACTACAGTCCCTCAGAAGGAACCTGTAATATTTGGGGCAAATGACAAACTGCCTGGTGGTTTGGCGTCTTCCTTGGCTAGCAGCTCATCTGAGCAAGTTCACTGGTGACCTACAGAAGAAAGAAGCTTAAGGGCCCCCTTGATATTCTGTGGTATGAGGTAAGGCAATTGAGGATGAGCAAAGAAGAAACCCAAGAAGAAAGAAAAGGCACCACATTTCTCCAGGGAAGTGGTTTAAGTTGGTGCAGCACCTCTCAGCATTGTGGCTCTCGAGGTCCTCTAAGACAATGGCTTTCAGCCTTTTTTCATTTGAGGACTCCTAAAAAATCCAAATGGAGGTGCAAACCTCTTTGAACTGTAAGGGTGGGTATTCTTCACATATGTTTGATTGATCATAATCATCTTTCACGGACCCCTTAGACATAGTCTGCAGACTCCCAGGGGTCTGCAGATCACAGATTGAAAACCACTACTCTAAGACCTTGTCAGCATCATCATGGAAACAGGGAGATCCCAGGATCCAAAAGCAAGTCAGAAGGAGATAAGACCATTTTTTCTTTCTGTCATTTTCTTTTTCAACCTGGGTCCCGACCAGTCAGAGGAGGAGAGAGGCAGACAGTGAAGAAAGAAATAACTGGGATGATGATGATGATGTAGCTCCAGATTGCTTATATGACAGTATTGTAGAATAGTGGGCCAGCCTTGCATATCCTGGCATGACAGCACTATTGTATGGTAAAGTAACCATAGCATAATAAAATGATGGTCAGCTGTAGTGTTTAGTGAAGGTATCAAAGAAAACTTGCATCTCAAATAATACATTAGGGCTAATCCTGAGTGAAGATAAGCACCTGCAAATGTCACTGGAGGCTAGGATTTGTAGGTGCTCAGTATCCAGGATTTGCTTCCAACTTCAGATCACTTGGGTGGCATCTCTTTCTAGAAGTAAAGACCTGTTTGCCCACTCTTTTTTCTATTTCCCGCTCCCTCCCAGGAAAATGAGATATTCCTTTCCCTCCCATTCCCGACCCTTGCTTTTTCCAATGGTTTGTATTTCACAGCAGCATGTGTGCGACAAAGGGTATTCTTTCTCAGCTTCATAAACAGCAAAAAAATATATATATATAATATATATATTTATATATAGAATTATGTTTAAATATTTGCAAAGAGATCACAACTATCTCGACCTTGCTAAAAGAAGCCTATACAGTAGAGGAAGTGAGTAGTGACAAAATTCAGAGCAGCAGCGGACACACACTCATAGGTGGCGAACCATTGATACAGTAATGTAACAAAGTGTCCGCAGCAGCTTCTCATCTGTTTTGCTCAAAGCCTGTTCCAAAGCCCGCTGAAGTCATGGAAAGCCTCCGTGTTGAGTTCACTGGGCTTTGGATCAGGCCCCTGGCTTGGGTTTCTGTTCTGAAAGGAGGTGATGGGAAGGGCAGGGGCTGTAGCTGTGTGTTGAGCCTCTTTATCCTCCCACTCTCATTTAACCATCTCCTTGCTCGTTCCTCCACTTCCATCAGTGCTCACACCGCTCCTCTCGTGTGTGCCCACAAGGCAGAGGGTATCCTGGTTGTTATTATGACCCCATCCAGTCTCTTCCTCCCAAACTTCCTCTTTCTTCTTACAAGCCCCTTTCACCCTCCTGATACTCCGGTTGTTTCCCATTGATTCCTCTTAAGCTCGCCTCGCCCACAGAGGCCACTCATGATGCTGTTACTGATTCTCTTCAGCTGCTGGGTCCCGGCAGGTACACTCATCTTGGTCACAGTCAGCAGCAAATGGGATCACCTGAAACAAGGGAATGAAGAGAGAAAATCTGCAGGATTGCCTACTGCAAATGGGTGCATAAAATCCACACTACAGTCTCTCAACTGACACCATGAGGATCAAGAGGGTAAGGCTATAAAGAACAATGGCCTTAATACATTCAGATCTGTCTTCTCAGAAGGGAAGATTCTTCAAAAGGCAGGACAGGCTAATGTTGTTGTGAGTGAACTACCAGCTGAAGGTGCAAGAGCACTCATCCAAGTATTTCTGTAGTCAACTGGAGTCTGTTCAGACTCAGTAGGGACTGGATCAGGCTTATAATTAGGCAAGGAGGGTCACCTTGACAGCCAACATAGGAGCCAGCCCAGATCAGTTAGGGCCTTTCTGTGTATTACAGCAACACACAAAGAGCCTTATTCATGTTTGGGGTCACTTGGTGAGTGCCATCCAGACAGAGCTGCATAGGGAGTGAATGAGGGTGAATCGGGGCATGTATACCAGGGCTCTTCCAAGCCCCATCAACAAAATAACCTCCACCAGTATGAGATACCATGCTCAGTAGCCTCATTAAGTTAACCACATGTTCAAAATACAGCCATATATGATGTCAGAGTGAACAACCACAGAGATGAATGGGGCAGGGAGAGGGCTTTTCTCAGTGCTATGATTTCAGGCTGTCTGCCAAAGTGGGAGGTATTACTGCACCAATTAGTTTTAAGATGTGTTTTTATGGCTTGTGGGATTTGATCAGTTTTGATTCTGTGGCAGTGGTTGGTGTGTTTGGGGTTTCTTCCCTGCTAGTTATCACATCAAGGAATAGGAAGACAGCTTGGGTGAGATGCTGCTCTGCAAAGGCAATGAAAAGGCAATTTGGACAGAGGATGGACTCTGTCTAATGTAAGCCACTGTACATGCAACTTAGGTTTAGAGTCCTAATATCCCCAGCCAAGCAGGGCATGAGATCTTGGTACAAGGATGTATCCACTGCTTCAGCTATAAGTGTTTCAAATGTCCTAACCACATCACTCCTGAGTCTCCTCCCAGTAGCAGCAGTTTGTTAGGAATTTATCCTTAATCCTGCCACCTAGACACACATTAATTTCTTGCACAAGCTGCAAAATATGAAGCCAATCCAGTAACGATGCTCCATTTCACCTAACACCAAGTAAAAGGATGATCCTGCATGGAAGGACTGCACCCAGCAGCCAGCTCTTGACTCATCTATCACCATAAAAGGTGAATGCTGACACTCATGCGCATAGAGGACTGATAGTAGTGCATGGCTCTAGCCAAGGTACAGTGCGAGCTCCTCAACAGAACTCTGCAATGCACGTCGCTCCTGTTACAGCACAGATTCCCCCCTGGCTTCCCCCCAGTTCTGCTACTGCATCTGTATCCAGACCTGCAGTCCCTGCTATCAAAGCACTGATATCCCACCCCTACCTCCCCAGGGCAACTTGACCCAGATGTGTGGGCTTGTTGACGCAGCCCAGACCTCCCCATCTTGGCCAACATGCCCCAACCAAAATGTCTGCTATAGTACTGACCCCCACCCTGACCCTTGCCCCAGCTCTGCCTTCCTATATTCCAGCACTGACCCACCTGTTCTGAGTGCCTCTATCCTGACCTGCAGTGCTGTTATTATACTACTTTTAATGCTGGGGGAAAGTATGACACCCCATCCCCTATAACCCAGCCCTGCAAAGGACTTGTATCCAGATTCTTCCAAACCTGCTCTTACAGCTTGGCCACAGTTCTGTCAATGCACTTATATGCTCAACTGTACTCCTTGCTGTTATATTACTGACCCCCCAGCTCTGCTGACCTGCCCCTATCCTGACTTTCAGCCCTGATCTATCTTGGCCTATGTTTTTTCATCCTGAACTGCAGCCCCTATCATTACATGCCTGACACTCCCTGCCCAGCCAATGCATCTCTAACAGAAAGTGACTTACACCCCTTAGGATTAAATCACTGATCACTGATTGCCTGCCCCTGCTGCCAGTGTGCCTGTGTCCTTATTTGCATCTCCTAATACTGACATCTCTGATTCAGCCAGTGCTTCTCAAACAGGACCCATGCCCCTGCTTTTGTAGTACTCGTCCCACACGCCTGCCAATTCACCTGCAGCCTGAGACGCAACCCCTGCTACAACAGCAATGATGCCAGCTCTGTCAGCATGCCCCAATTCTGATTTGCATCAGTACTAAAATACTGCTGACCACCCCCTCTGTCCCCCCACCACAAAGAAACTGAATGTGAATCTTCAGCCACCTGTGGTTGCAGCTCTGATGCCCTAGCTCTGCCAATATGCCTCTATCCTGACCTTCACTCTCTGCTGTAACAGCATGGAGTCCTCACATTGCCAGTGCAACTCTACTCTGACCTGCAGCCCACCTATTATGCCACAGATCCTCCTTGACCTGTGCCCTTCTTTCCTGACCTGCAGCCCCTGCCTATTAGAAATGACTGTTTCCCGAGCAGCCAGTACACCTCTATCCTAACCCACAATGCTGCTATTACACCAATGACCACCCCACCTCCCCCCAAATCTTAAATACTGCACCTCTAGTGAAATCTTTACCCTTGCTATTCTGGCCATGCCCCTCCAGCTGGCTAATGCACCTCTACCATGACCTGGAGCCCCTGCCAGTACAGCTCTGCCTTCCACGGCTTGGGCAAGGTGCCTCTACTATAAATAATATTCCTACCAGTACAGCATTGGCTGCCCCATCCACCTCAAACTTGACTTTTGTGTTGACAAGAACCAGCTCTGCCTATCTGTCACTATCCTTACCAGCAATATTCAAATCATAGAATCAAAGGACTGGAAGGGACCTGCAAGATCATCAAGTCCAGTCCCGTCCCCTGTCATGGGCAGGAGGTTATTGGGCTCAAACAAGCAAAACAAGGTGCTTATCCAGCCTCCTCTTGAACACCTCCAAGTGCTACGACTGCACCACCTCTGCTGGGAGTGTGTTCCAGATTCTAGTTACCCTTACAGAAGAGAAGTTTTTCCTTATGTCCAACCTAAATTTTCCCTCAATTAGCTTGTGTCCATTGGTCCTTGTCCTCCCAAGGGGTGCCTTCATGGTTCTAGACCAGTGATTATTCTTAATAGTCACAGCACCCTGGGGTGTTATAAGATCCACTTAGGGGGTGCCATCAGCACTGTTAGGTGTGCAAACTTCTACACATGATTCACAAAACAACCTCAGGGGCCATGTCCAGACAAGCACGGTTGTGTGGTGTGTGGCACTGTAAACATGTCTGTGGCACCACATACCACACATTCAGCTGTTCTTCACATTGCAAGGGTGCAGTGTGTATGGGGGCAGGGGGTTTGATATCCAGGGGTCAAAAAAACCTGCGCAAAAAAGCAGGTTAGCATATAAGGGGACAGTGTGAACCGCTCAAAAATGGAGCCTGCCCAGCTGGAGCCATGCTGCAGCTGCCAGTCAGGCTCTGAGCAGCAGGAGGACCCCAGGTAAGGCTCTGCCAGTGTTCCTCTATTCTGACCTTCACCTTCTGCTATAACAACAATGCCCCCCCCTTTCCCCCCTCCCCTCAACACAGCTTGGCTAATGCCCAGTGTTATAACACTGACTACCCCAGTTCAACCAGTGCATGCTATACTGACCCCTTCTATTACAGTACTTCCCCCCAGCTCTGTCAGTGCACCTTTACTGTGCTCTATGCTCTTTCCTATTACAGAACTACACCTGCCTCACCCCGGTTTTGCTCATGAATTTTTATCCTAACCTGCAGCGTCAGCTATTAAAGTACTGCCCTTCTAGCTCTATGCATGATATACTGGCTGTACTACTGGCCTCACCCCTGAGCTGTCAATACATGTTGCTTGGCTTGCAGTACTCCAAGTATTCTAGTCCTTGACCTTCACCTAATAGTTTGCTGCACTTTGTGGCTGAGTTAGTAGCAGGAGGGCTCTCACAGTGGAAGGAAGGAAACGCTCCCAGGGAGATCCATTGTTACTCAGAGCCATGCCTGGTTCGTTCTGCCTGACGTCATGGAAAGGTAGTGTGAGTTGGCATTTATTTGCTGCTAGTATTGTGCTCGCTCTCTGTCTCTTTCTCCCCCTGCCCCTTTCTCTCTCTTTCTCTGTTATGATCATAAAAATAAAGTGATGCCACTGATTTTTGCAATGATACTCTAAGCCAGTGGCTCTGAGGAGATGGAACCATTTGATTTGGCTCCTTTATGGAAGATTCACTATAGCTTTAAGTAACAGCTATTTCACTATTTCCCCTGCTGTCTACCCCACCCACTTTCATCCCCAGTATGACTAGGATTGTATGGATTTCATTCAGTGACACCCTTCAGTGTAACCACAGTGCTTGTTGTAAGACATCGTGGTAAAACTGAAGGTGTCTTGCTCTAATTGTTTTTCTGCAATGCCCTTTTCCTCCCAGCAAACTTGGACATTTCCAATGGGTTTTTTGTTGGGTTTTTTTGCTTTTTGTGATGAAAGGAAAGATGATTAGGTATCTGTAATAAAGGAAAGAAGAAAAGAACCAGATCCACATATTTTTGGAATGAGAAACTATCCTAAGCTTTGTTTTGCTCTTCAGTGTATTTTGGAAGTGCAAACTGGAATGCAGGAAAGGAGACTGGGTCTGGGAGAAGACAGATGCCATTGGGCTGCATACACAAAGATACCTCTGCATCATCCCACAGGCATAGTTTTCCAAGGAGTAGAACAAAGGCCAAGTTCTGCAGGCATGCTGGGAAAGTACATTAATCAGCCAGTCAGTTGCTCTAGGCTGGGTTGGTTGACAAATACCACTGCATCATTGAGATGCTGAGTCATGTAACATGGTGGCTTCTGCATCATCATCACTAGTAGCACCAAAACTCACTGTAAGAATCAAATGTTGTCATAGGGACTGATTTCTTGAATAGGATAAAGTCCCATGCATGTCAGTCGGAGCCGAGTTAAGCATTTAGTCCTATTGGCTCTGATCCACATCACACTGAGGCCAAAGGAAATATTCGTATGGTCTTCAATGAGCTTTGGAGGAAACCCTGAGGACTATGCTTCCCATTTACAGAGGTGTTTGCCTGCAGGTTCAGTTCTAAGGTGCAGCAAACCCATGGAAGCATTGGCTATCATAGGCTCTTAAAGCAGGACCCTTGGCCTGTCCCCCAGTGTCTTCTGTAAGATGTTCACTTACCTTCCTGGAGGAGAGTGTGGAAGAGCAGCAGTCACCCCCGTCATACTGGCAATATGCCCTGTTATTGATGGTGTCACACCAGCCGTCTGCTTGGAAAGGCTAGGAAGAGAAAGGATAATTGCTGAGTGAAGGCTGACTGTGGTGGCTCTGGCTCATGAGTGGAAACTCCACCTCCATTCCTTGATAAGACTTTCATGTGATCCTGTAACATTATAGGATCCAGCCTAGTGACTTGTGCTCTCACCTTTAGCACTACACTTGACCTCAGAAGACCCGACTTCCCATCTTTATCTCACCCCTCCTTCTGGGAAGTCTACCACCAACTTTAGTATACTACACATACTCTTGCAGTCCTTGCTAGGTGGGAGCAGGAGTAATGTGACCATGTGTGGCCAGTGGATGATCAGAAAGCTAGGATGGACAGTGATTATGCCATTTTTTGTTCCATCCCCTTGCAACACCCACCAAGGGGCTGACAAAATCCTTCCCCTGCCTTGTGCCTGGGCATGGAGGGGGGACCCTCTGAGAGATAATTAGAGGAATGGCAAACCTAATCCTCTGAAAGAAATCAGCCTGTTACATGGAACCTTTTAAAGAATTTTGTAAAAGGTATTAGTTTTTTGCCGAACTAGAACTGCAAAATAAAAGCCCATGGACATTCATTATAAAATAAATTAATAAATTTTGCATTCTGTTCTAGTAAAATTCCTGGATTGGAACAGGATTTTCAAAAGCATCTAGTTGATTTAAGAGTACAAGTCCCATTGACTTCCAAATCAATTAGCTCTACTAGGTCAGTGAGACCCCAAAATCAATGGGGTTTGTGCTCCTAAATCACTTAGGTACTTCTGAGACTCCCCACCTATCCTATATTGCAGTGGCATAGTTACAGCACTGTAGACTTATTACTAGAATGCAGTAGTATAATTGCACTTAAAATGTGGTTTGCACTGGTGGTTCCTCAGCTCCAAATTAGTCTTGCACTCAATACTACACAGATCACCAGGGGTTTGCATGGATGCATCCATGTCAATGCCACTAAAAAAATCACAAACAAGTCTCTGCTAAAAAAGCATAACTTACAAGGAGTGAACTTTCATCTCCAACTTCGAAATATTATCCTAAACCAACAAAACAGTTCTCTGATTGGAAATTTTACAAACATGAGACAAAATTTGCACTGTTTTGATTGTTTACATGAGTCATCCAATTAAGAAAGCAAAACAAATAATCAAGAGCAAGAATCAACCAATTAGGAATGAGAAACAAGATCCTGCGACATGCATAACTGAACGTTGCTATATGAATTCAAAATATTTGCCACATGCTGTTCAGGAACAATTTACAACCAAGAGTTATTCAGCAGAGAAATTTATGAATAAACTCCAGTTACACATAATTGTGATAGGCCCACTGGCTGTTGGCAGAGGTCTTGATGCGTGGCCAAGGAATGCATTGCAGAGAAAGAACATAAAAATGGCGATCTTATTGCCACATAAAGGGATGCTAAAATGTGGAACTGGGACCACAACTGTTGGAGCTCCCCTAATACAGAAGTGCTGGCAGATGTCACCATCCTCAACAGAGCAAGGCCCACTGGCAACAGCCCAAAAGGCCATTAGCAACTTCCTTCTGCCTACCTCTGTCAACAAGGTGATAGGAAAGCACAACAGACATGGCTCCAAAACAACTTGGATATATTTTTGTAATTACTTGGGTGTAATTTTGTCACAGTGAATCAGAACTAGGAAAGTGGGAAGCCAATGAGTCAGTGGCCTGACACCCTACTGTCACTATTGGCAACACCTACAGCCTCCAAGCAAACTCTGTGCAAATGCAAAGAAGAGACAGTCCATGACCTGAACAGCTTATGGTCTAAGCACAGGAGGCAGAAAATGTCATTCTACAGATGGTGAAGCGGGGCACAGAGAAGATAAGTGACTTGCCTATGGACATAAAAAAGTATCAGTTATATAGGAACTAAACCCAGATCTTCTAAATCCAAGTCAACTGCCTTTGTTACAAGATCTACTTGGCCTTGATACAGAACTGGCTGGGAAAAGTAGCCTTGGAGAGGCATGGCCAAAACCCTTTGTTTGATATCACCTTGCAGACCAAATATTCATTTAGGTCTGATCCTCATTCCACCCCTTGAACATGCCCAGCTTGTTTTCTAAGGGACATGGGGACTGCAGTACATAAAGTGCCTTCCAACTTTGAAGCATGGCACTGTACAAAGCTTGCACACACCCCCAAAATTTTGTCTATTAGTGAAATGCAGTTCCCTCTTTGAGAGAAGGCAAACACTACTGAATATTACTAAACAGTGGGATTTACACCTTCATTGACTCTCTCAAGCCCCTTATCAAGAGAGAGATGCATTCTCACTATTTAACAGAGAGGGGAGCTGAGGAAGAGAGGCTGAGTGACTTGCCTAGGGCCATACAGCAAGTGGCCATCAGAGGCGGGCTGGGATTGGCAGTAAGGGCTCCTGACTCAGAGTCGGAACCATATTTAGTGAGTTAGGAATTGTAGCCTATGTTTAACAGCAACACTAAACAACAGTTTAGGGCAGGAAATGAAGAATACTGTATCCAAGTGAAACTTCCAGGGGAATTAGCTAGTCAGAATGTAATTATCCAAGCTGGAATTGAACCAAGGTGCAAGGTTAATACTCCTACTCTTGTGAAAAGTGCCAGGAGATCATAGATGAGAGGTGAAGCCCTCTGTTCTCTATCCTGCCTGAGAAATGACACTTTCCCCAACCCTGTCTTAGGGCACTGACTAAAAGTAAAGAGTCCCACCTTCTGAAACCCCCTACTGCAGCACCCTAGGGTCACAAGGACTAATTCATGTGCCAGAGAGGGGGAAAGTGTTGGGTGTGAGTTTTTTGCCACATTCCATGCTGAAGTTTTTCCTTCAACTCTGCTCCATATGTCATGACTCACTGGCAAAACAAAACCCATTTCTTATTTAGTTTCCATATAATTATTGCAAAGAATTGCCCATCCCAGATGCATGGGTCTGAAATGAATTTCAGATCACTTCTTGTGTGCAGTGGCCACGGATGGGAACTGGGGAGGAGGAGGGGACAGGAAGAGGCAGGGCATAAGAAGAGGTCTTCACTTGCTGTATATACCTATTAGAAGTAATTGCTCCTCCCCCCAATCCGCCAAAACTGTAGCCCACCCTAAACAAACACAGGCTCCTATAGCAACACTTGTTAGGGAAACTTGACAGCTCATGCTCAAAATTACATTGGAAAAACAGATGACAGGAAAATAAAATATGACTAATTGGATCAAAGGCCTGAAAGAGCCAGGAGCATGGCTTGAAAACCTGTGTCTCTTACTGAAAGATGTTAAAAACGTTTGACGGGACACTGAAGATAATTCAGTCTCCATCTCCTCTGTGAACCATTTCCACTAGGTCCTTCAAGTGAGACATACAGCGAAGCTCTTTCTGGAGACACATTCTTATTGAGGGACCAGAGGCTTTCGACAAGAGTGGAAGTGCTAACCTCAAAGAATTTGGACCAAATTCCAACCAAGCTCATTACATTCTCCTTGCTTCCTGTTGTAGTCTCAGTTGGGGTGGACAGGCCAGGTCCTCAGCTGATGTAAGTCAGGATGGAGCTACTGACTTGAATGGAGCTATGCTGATTTACACCACTTGTATATCTGGCCTGCTGTTCCTTTTTACACTCTACCCTCCGCTGCTGTGTAGCATTGGTGTGTTCTGTGCAGCACCAGGTGCATCCTGCCTGAGGAGCAGCTATGCTTCACACATCTGTAGGGGTCACTGAACTTCTAAAACCCTTGAGTGACCTTGGAGCCTCCAGTATCATAGCACTAGAGGTCAGGGTGCAGTGTGTAACAAGATTTGTGCCTTCCAACTGAGGTGGCTGAATGGTCACCCCACATCCCTTCCAAGTATCTGAGCACCCCAGCATCTTAGCTGTACTTAGCGTTTCCAAAGGGGTGGGGAGGATTCATTCCCATTTTACAGATGGGGGACTGAGGTATAAAGAGGCTAAGTGACCTGCCTAAGGAAGTCTATGGCAAAGCAAGGAATCCTAACAGGTCTCCCAAGTCTCTTAGTTATTGAACAGTTGTTTCCTCATCATAGTTTCATACATGAAAGACTGGTGCCTCCCGCAACTGGGGAGGCACCCTGGCGGCGAGTGGGGACAGCCTGCAGCCACCTCCAGCAGTGTTGGGGGGGTGGGGAGAGTGGTGAGCAGGGACTGCTCACTGCCACTGGCGGCCATGTCGGCAGCAAGGAAGGCGGCGACTGCCTGCAGAAGCTGGCAGCAGCCAATCTTATGGGGGGCATGTGCCCCCCCCCCGTACCCTCTTATGCATTGCCTATGGTTTTATAGTTGTTAGGGGCTGGAAGGGACCTTACAGATCATCGGGTCCAGCCCCCTTGCACTTGGGCAGGAAAGATTGATGGAGTCACATGACCCCAACAAGATGGGTGTCAAGATGCTTTTTGAAGATTGCCAGAGTGGATGACTGTACCACCTCTGGGGGGAGCCTGTTACTTGACTTGTAAAAAAGTTTTTCTGTATATCTGCCCTGTTTTTGTACAATGGGGGGAAATCCCGTCACAGTGTCTACATGCAGGTGTTACAGTGACACATTAAGCAGCAAATGCGCAGTTAGTTTCCCCTGTAGACAGGGATAGGAGTGATTTGTCACTATACAATCTTAGCCAAAGTCAGTTCTAGAGTAAGCTGGTGGGACTCCTGTTAACTTTTATATGGGGATAAACTGAAGCTGGTTGCTTTTGCTCCTGTATCTGGTTTCAGTCATCTTAAAAAGGGAAACAGAGCAGTTTAGAGCCTCAGTTGATCATCTTATTCACCTATGAAATATAATCGTGGGCCTTATTCTTTTTACTTGGTTACAGCTGGCCAAAAACTCACTTTGCACAAGAGTAAATGGTTGCACCAGGTGTAAGGCAATGGAGAATCAGGCTCAAGAGTACAGAGATTTAGACCTATAGATAACAGAATTATGTAAATCCCTGCCAGTGGAGAACCTGGGGTGGGGGAGGCATGCACCATCTCTTTCAGTCTAGCTTTGAGCAGGAGT